AGAGACGACGGAAAGCCTCCCCGGGGCCCGGGGGGGGGGGGGGCCTTCACACCACAACAAATCCGGCTGGGGAGCCACATGAGAGTCCCTGCTCTGCTCTGCCGTTCCTCTGGAGTGTGCCAGAGAAGCGGATGGTGCCCCTGGGAGAGTCCGGGAGCCTGCGGGTGCCCACCCTCTGCTTTCCTTGTGCCAGGAGGCCAGCGGGATGAAGAGGAACAAAGTGCTCAGTGCCCTCCCTCAGCCTGCCTGGCAGGGCTGGTGTACGCAAAGACCTTCTAATGCTTGGAGAGGCTGCGGAGAACTCCTCAGTGGGACAGCAACCAGCAGGAAGGGTTGGAAGGGAAGCAACCAGCAGGAAGGGAAGGAGCACAGCTGCCTTCCGGGGAACCGGACCACCGCTCAATGCTGCCCGTGGAGCTGGAGGAGCAAGTGCTCCACACCCCGGGGCCTTCCTGGCAGCCCTTGGAGAGGAGTGCGCGCCTCCTGCCCACCCAGCGGCTCCATACAGCAGCCCTGCAAGGCGGGCGGGCTCAAGCCCTGCTGGCAGGCCCCAGTCCTTCCTTTTGCTCCGCTGTCTCCCCAGGTTCTCCTCCCCCCTCCCCCATTCAAGCTGAGACCTGGTGCCCCAGGGCGGGGCGGGAGAAGAGTGCCCCACACACACACCAGAGCCTCCTCTGCCCTGGGCCGCCAGCTGAGCAATGCTCCCTCTAAGCTGTGGAGTCTCGTGAGCAAAAAGTCTACTTTGTGAGCTACTGGCACTAAAGTTGTGAGCGAGCGTTTTGGCTGCTGCAGAAATTAGTTTGCTCCGGAGCCCTCCTTCCTGAGCGAAGACAAAAAGGTGTGAGCTGGAGGCTAAAAACCTTTGAGCTAGCTCACACAGACTCAGCTTAGAGGGAACACTGCCCGTGGCTCGGCCTGGTCAGTCAATTTGGCCTCCCTGTGGCAGGCCCGGCTGCCTTCCCAAGAGGCGGGCTGTGTGTGTTGTGTTTTGTGTGTGTGGGGGTGTCTCCTCAGAGAAGTTCCAACCAGTGCTCCCTCTAAGATGTGGAGCAAAAATCCCACTTTGCGAGCTGCTGGCACTAAAGTTGTGAGCGAGCGATTGGGCTGCTGCATAAATCAGTTTGCTTTGGAGCCATCCCTACCTGAGCTGAGACAAAAACGTGTGAGCCAGAGGCTGAAAAACTGTGAGCCAGCTCAGCTTAGAGGGAACACTGTCGCTGAGCAAGACGGGCAGGAGATGACCCCTGCCTGAGGAAGCACCGGCTGCAGAGGTCCTTACCTTGGGGCGGCGCACAGCAGTCTGAAGGACGACGGTGCCCGCATGGGGCTCCTCTAGAAAGGCACCGCAGGCGGAGGTCTGGTGCGCCCCATGGCTCCTCCTGCCAGAGAGGGAAAGGCACGTGAGAGAGGAGGGAGGCAACCCGAGACCCCCTCGCAGCCTCCCAACAGGGAACCTTCCAAGTTGCCCTCCTCGCCAGCCCACCCGAGGAGGGGGCCCACCTGGGAAGCGGCAGCTGCTCTCGGGTGGAAGCCGGAGCCTGTGGGAGGCCCAGGCCCCGCCAGCAGCAGCTGGGAGCAGCGCGGAAGGGCAGGAGATGCCCCACTGGCAGTGGGGGCAGGGCCCTGCTGGCTGTGCCAGACCAGCCATGGGACTCTTCCGGCCTGTCTTTACACGGGCACTTCGAGAGCCCAGCCACCAGCCCGGCCTGGCCTGTCTTCCGGAGCTCAAACCCCACACAGATCTGCCTGCCCAGGACTCCGCCCGCTCATCCTGCCCCACTGCCCTCTGTGCCCGCAGCCCCACGGCCTCAGCGCAGCTGGTCTGAGCTCCCACGTCAAGCAGGGTCTGTGCCCTGGGTTCAAGGATGTCAAGAAGCTGGGGGTTTTCCCCTGCTTCCCCGCAGTATCCCAGTACATCTGTGCACCTCCGGGAGTTTCGCTGGCTTTTCCCTGACCATTTTCTAACCTGATTCGCTGCAAAGTGTTGGGAAAGATCACCACAAAGCCTGGATGGCTGCTGTATGGGTGGGAAAGCGTGGGTCCCCCCCCCCCCACAGGGCACCCATTCCTTCACCCCCACCCCGGTCCTGGCAGCAGCCATTTCCTCCCCCTGCCACCAGGGGGCTTTTATTATTTTGGAAACCCGGACTAGAAGAGGCGTCACTGTAAACAACAGGAGGGAGGGTTTCCCGGCTCTCGTTTGTAAAAGGAGGAGAAGAGATTGGGTTTATACCCCACCCTTCCCTACCCAAAGGAGTCTCAGAGCGGCTTACAAACCCCTTTCCCTTCCCCTCCCCACAACAGACAGACACCCTGTGAGGTCGGTGGGGACTGAGAGAGCTCTTGACAGAAACTGCTCTTTTTCAAGAACAGCTCTTGCCAGAACTGTGGCTTGCCCAAGGCCCTCCAGCCAGGTGCAAGTGGAGGAGAAGTGGGGAATCAAACCTGGTTCCCTCAGATTAGAGTCCGTGCACTTCACCACCACACCAAACTGAAGTGGATGAGCTGATGCAGGTAAGAAGAAGAAGAGGAGATTGGATTTATCCCCCACCCTTCACTACCCGAAGGTGCCTCAGAGCAGCTCACAAACTCCTTTCCCTTCCCCTCCCCACAACAGACACCCCCTGTGAGGCGGGTGGGGCTGAGAGAGCTCTGACAGAAACGGCTCTTTTTTCAAGAACAGCTCTTATCAGAGCTACAGCTTGCCCAAGGTCATCCGGTCAGGTGCAAGTGGAGGAGGAGTGGGGAATCAAACCCGGTCCTCCCAGATTCTTAACCACCACACCAAACTGGCAGAACATTTCCTGTTATACCTCCACAAAGGAGGGGGGCCTGCGATTGGCGGCTGCTGCTGCTGCTTCTTTTAAATGAAAGCTGGGAGTTGCCTCCAGGGCTCCCTCCTCCTAAGGCTCACCCAGCACTTTAGGCTATAGGGCTACAGCACTAACTGGGGCTCAGACAAAGCAAGGGGGGGGGACAGAGATGCAGAGGGCCGAAGTGCCGCCTGGCATCACCTCAACAGTGGCTGCTGCTGCTGCTACAGAATTCAGTTTCTGCTTGGTCTGGGCAGCTATTTGATAGACGGCTAGACAAGAACCTTTACATTTGTTTTGTTACAGGCTGGACCAGGGTGTTTAAATCCGTTTTTTATTGCCAGCTGCTGAACGTTAGCGAGCCTTTACTTGGGGGGAATGGGACAGAACCGATTCTAATCAACAGCAAAGGAAGAATGTGGGGGGGGAGCCGAGGCATCAGAGTCGCTCCCCCCCCCAGCCCCTGCTGGCCAGCGTCCACCTGCCTGCCCGAGCCTGGCGGGGCAGTGCAAAAGGAGTCCCTCGGGCAGCGAGACGGAGGCTGGAGGGCACGCCAGGGGGCACGGGCTCTGCACGGGGCAGGGGCCAGTTCCGGGGCAGGGAGCCAATGCCCGACACACGCTCTGTCCATTGCCCCAAAGTAATGGCAGCTCTCTGGGTCAACTCGGGCTCTGGCACAAACGGAGAGAAAAGGAGGCCCGTTTCCAGCCAGGACAGCTGAGGCAGCCCCAAGAGCTCCAGGGAGGCCCCTTCCCCGCACCAAGCCCAGCCTCCCACACCGAGCCCTGCCCTCCGTCCCTGGATGAACGGCCACACACACACACACACACACACACCCCTCTGCACGTGCTCCATGCCACTGAGCGGCAGCAACCAAAGCCCGTCCAGCCCGAGGGCCCCGCCCACCCACCGCCCTGCCCACCAGGGTGCCACGGCCCGCCATGGACGACTTGGAAGGAAGCCAAACACAGCTTTGTGCTGCTTCTAAACAGTTCCCATGGCAACGGGATACGGGCGAGCAGGGACAGATTTGCCGAGGCAGCAGCTCCAATAATTGATTGGCAATTACCATTGGGTAATTGCGTAATTATAGTGACAAAGTGCAGAGTGGCAGCCATCTGGGCACGCGGGGGGGGGGAGGGGGGGAAAAGCCCGCCTTCTGGCCACCCCAGCTCACCTGGCTCTCCTTCCGGGGAGGGGGGGGCTGTTCGCTCCAGCCATCACCCTTTGCCCCCCCCCCCCGAAGCCGAGTCTGCCACCCAAAGCCTCCAGATCAGGTTCTCTGGGCAGGGCGGGTTGGCAGCTTCTGAGCCTATTCTAGGGATGTCAACCTCCAGGTGGCAGCTGGTGATTTCCTGGGATTACAGGTGACCCCCCCCCCCAGGCAACGGAGATCCCCTGGACAAAATAGCCACTTTGGAAGGTGGACTCTACCGCACTGTACCCCAAACCCTGCCCCCCCAGCTCCACCCCCAAAATCTCCGAAAATTTCCCACCCTGGAGCAGGCCACCCTAGCCGGTCCAAGGGCCTGGTGTCTGCCACGACCACTCCAGGTCACGCAATCCACATCTCCCACCAGAGGGGGGTGGTTCTGACTGGCACAGTTTGTGTGTCTTGCTCTCAGAAGGCCACCAGGACAGGGGACAGGATTTTCGGGGGGCTGGAGGGAGGGGACTTCCCCCTGAGCGTCTCGCTTGCTCGCTCATTCACGGCTTTTGCTGGTGCCTCTTTGGTCTGGGGTGGCCACCCGCTCCTGCCCCAGTCCTGCCCCAATCCCTCGGCCCACTGGAAGGAGGACTCCCAGGGCCACGGCCGGAGAATGCAACCCACCCGACTGCTCCCTCGTTCCAGTGCAGTGCGGCCAAGGAGGCAACTGACCAAACAGCCCCCCTCCCCCCCAGTCTCCGAGGGCACCAGATTCAGGGCCACCATCACCCGTTCTAGCTCTGTCGCGTGGTCGACTTCCGTGTGCTGCTTCTGCCACGTTTTGGATGGCTCTCCACAGCCTGTGCCCAGAAAGGGGGACTTTGGACTGCCTACCAGAGCTGCTGCCACTGCCTCCGGCCTCTTGCTTGCCTGCCTGGATTTGCATATGCAAAGATGCGGAGGAGGCCCAGGCTGGGCTGCTCTGCCTGCTTCCCTCCGAGGAGCCTCTGTGCAAACAGACCAAGCGGCGGGGGGGGGGGGGGGTCAGCTTCTGGGTGCAGGAGGGCTCTGCCCCCACTGAGTCTTGGGCGTGGGTGCCCCCCTTCCTCTCTGTGATCCAAGCAGCAGATTTTTACTCTCAGGCGTGGCAGAGGATCCTGCTCCTCTGGCTCCCTGCCCCCCAGCCTTTGTTTCCAGAATGTCAGACTGGAGGCAAATCACGCTGCCTTTCCCGGAAGCCTCACCCCGTCCAGTCCCAGACTGAAGGGGCGCCCGATAGGTACACGACAGTCAGCCAAAAGCCGCCTGCACCTGCTCAGACGCCCTCTTCTGCTCAGCGTCTTGTGGCTCCTTAGAGATGAACCAGGCCACCACAGCAGGCACTTTTGTGAGCCACAGCCTGTAAGAATGCGGTCCAGGCCTGGGGAAGCCATCCTGGAACACAGGGGATCCACAGCCACAGGCGGTGCTGGCGGCCACATGCACGGACAGCTTCAGGAGGGAATTAGATAAAACATACGGAGCAGAGGTCCATCGGTGGCTCTTAGCCACAAGGTATATAGATAGGAACTCTCGGTCTGGGGCAAGGAAGGCTCTGTAGCCTTGGTGCTTGGGGGAGGGGCAACAGTGGGGGGAGGGGCTTCTAGTGCCCTCCTGGCCCCACTGCTGGACCTCCTGATGGCCCCTGGTGTTTCTGGCCACTGTGTGACAGAGTGCTGGACTGGATGGGCCATTGGCCTGATCCAGCATTGGCCTCTCTTTTATTCTGTTGGGTGTTACAAGTCTAAACACTTTAGTGTTTACAGGGTTAATGATGTTTGTTAAGTCACATGTTTGTTTGTAACCAATCTGTTTAGACAACAGAATGCCCAGGAACTTTGGAGCTAATTTGCTAGTCTGATTGGAAACCAAGGTGTCAAGTATTTAGCGTATTAGTTTCTCCTCCCGTTCTTTGTTCTGACTGAGAAGGAGACGCCATTCGGCTCTTCCTGTTTTACCTTTTAGCTGCAAGGATGTAGGTATATTAGCTCTTTGTTATTTTATATCCTGTGTACCTTTTTCCCATGTTAGGTTTATAGTAAACTTTTATATTTTAAAACACACCATGGACTCAGTCTCTTAATACTCTGCTGACTTACTCAAAAGGAATCCCAACCTGTTCTTATCCTCAGGAGCAAGATCTGGCATGGGGAAGGGACCAGTGGCGAAGACTCCCCTCACCAAACGCCGCTGCTCCCGGGGAGGAAGTCCCACCAGAGTGCGTTCAGTGCCGAGCTGCCCATCAGCTGCCCAGCCCTTGAAGCCCCTTCCCCACATACCCCCCCCCCAGTGCTCAGGGGGGCCAGCTCCACCTAGCAGCG